TACGTAGTGACAGCTCACTACAGCTATCTGCTTATAGTGACTCCGACTGGGCATCTTGTCCTCTTACTCGTCGCTCTGTGAGCGGCTACTTTATCCTTCTAGGTGGCTCGCCAGTTTCTTGGAAAACAAAGAAACAAACCACCGTGTCCCGTTCATCAGCAGAAGCTGAATATCGTGCCATGGCTAACGCATGTGCAGAGGTACGATGGATCCGCGGTCTTCTTGGGGCACTCGGCATTACTCCACCGACAACGCCACGTTTGTTTTGTGATAACAAGTCCACTTTGTTTATTGCTGCCAATCCTGTTTTTCATGAACGCATGAAACATATTGATATTGATTGCCACATTGTCCGTGAATGCGTTCAGCGCGGTGAGATCGCCACCGCATATGTTCCTACTCGTCTACAAATTGCTGATTTGTTCACTAAGGCTTTGAACAGGCCTCTCTTCGAGTTCTTATTGTCCAAGTTGGGCATTCGTGATCTCCATGCTCCAACTTGAGGGGGAGTGTTAGCATATATATTTATTTACTACCATATATGTAATTAGTTTACTTTGTAATTAGTTTCCTTGTTAGTAGTGTAATTAGTTTCCTTGTTAGTAGTCCTTTCCATACTTGGAGTAGGACTTGGCACATGTATATATACGTTGTGAATATTGAATGAAACGCAGCTCAGTTTTTCTAAAATTTTACACTAATCGTACCCAACACATAAGAGTATTTGGAAAATAACCTTTTTTTGTTACTCTGTACTAAAACACCTTTTTTTTAAATTTGTAGGAGCTAATTTTTTAAATGATCTGATCATTTTTCAGCTCCTCTATTCTATTTTCTCCTAATGGCTTCCCTTTTTTCCTTTTAAAAAGAACTTACACCCTTTTCTAACCAACAACATCAAGCAAAACACTCTTTGAAAATTTGTTAAAACACATAAAATAGGAACTATTGTCTGAATAGTTTAAATTAAATAAAATCCAATTAAAAATGTTTTTCATTGGTTTTGAACTACAAGAGCAAACGAATTGAAAAAAAACAGAATTTGACTTTTTTTGCTAATAGTTGTTATATGCTTTAAAACAAAGAATCAGCACTGCTCTCATGAATACAACCCTCTAATTTAACTTATAGTCTGGAAAAAATAGTTTGTTGGACATGTTCGAAAGTTTGTCTTGACACTATATTAGAAACAACCTTTTTTTTCTAAAAACTTAGTTCCTGAAGTCCAAACAAAATTTTATTTCAATATTCCCTTGGCTTGTAAAAAGCTCAGTTATCATTAGTAACAAGTCTCCTGTATAAAGAATTGTCTTTTTAAAATGAAGAAACCAGTCTTTCATGCCCAAAATCAACAAAGAACTGCTTAGAGAATCAATTTCAACAATAATAACCTCTATAGATTGTGTTGAGGAAGAATTGAATTTTTTCTCATTTGAGCAACAAAATATTTAAATTCAACCCCAATAGTGTCATTAGAAATACAGAATTTTTCAGTTAAAACATTTTGAAACGTTAACACAATATCTGCTTTGGATTTGAAAAACCACTTGAATGTGTAACAAGGTGTAGGGGATTTTTTTTATTCTAAGTTCAAAAAACATTGTTAAGAAGCATTGGGAACCTACTCTACTAAACCCTTTTTATTTAATTTAAATTCAATAATCAGGAATTGTTTTATTTTGTCTTATTATAACAAGGACTATTTTTTTAATCTGTATCTAATTGTTTTTTTCTTTTGATTCTTTTTAGCGTCCTTAGTACAACACTCATGTTATTTTTTTCATTCGCCCCTCACAGAAAATGTTTTGAATGCAGTACACAATGAAAACTATGCTTTTAAAAATGAAAATTTTTTCTTCGTTCTTGAAAGCACATGAACTACTCTCCCTTCACTTATGGTCTTGGCAACAGTTTTCATAGCAAAATTGAATATTCCACAAGTCATCCTTATAGAACTCTCAACTTTTAATCTTAATATGAAATGCATTTGTAGAGTACATGACGAGTTTGAAAGGCACATTTAACCAGAATTAGAAACTTTCAAATATATGAGAATCAATTGATCAATTAGAAAAGAACTAGAGTGAATTGATACGTGTTATTCCATTACGAGTAATTTTAGTTTCTTGCTCAAAAAGGCAAATTAAGCACAAACTATTGTAAAGAGTGCAGTTTTCAAATTCATTTTGAGAATATTTTTTTGAACCAACCTTGTAACTAGAGGTGCCCACATGGTAAGAAAAAAAATTGAATCTTAAGAACCACATGAACCATTCTTAGTCCTCAATTGTTTTTTTCAGCTTGATAAATCATTGAAAAACAAATTTGGTTCCCTCTACTTTTTCAAATAGAATAGCTAAAATAATAAGACATCGAGTTTACCTAATTATATGACGCACATAAGCTTGAGTTATAAGTACAATTACTTTCTCCACCTGGCTTCTGTCTGCAAGAAGAAAAAAAAATCTCTGGTATGGTGTTGTGAAGATGGGGCCTACTTCTCTGTTTTTCTTCTATTAGTGCATGAAATGTATGTTGTTGCTCAAAGAGAATTATGAATTGGGATATTATCCTTAGCCTTCATCTGTCCTCACTTTCTGTTTTTCTTTTGATCTCCAAAGCTTTATGTATCTCTCAAACATATGCACCTAAAAGTACAACAACTATTCATGTCCATTGTTATTATTATTATTATTATTATTATTATTATTATTATTATTATTATTATTATTAATCAAAACAATTTGATTAATTGATTATTCATTTATTGAAAATTCTAGGGTATGTTTTGGGGCGTTACATACAAAGTATAAGCCGTGTGGATTAATTAAAGCATGCCTCACAAATGAAACGTTTAGTCCTATTTATAATAATGTCTAAGCACGTCAAGCACGTCTCTGCTATTTTAGCCAGTAAGTCTCCAACCGATCAGTACACATGCCTTGTCAGACGAAGCCATGTTCCTGATTCTGAATCTTCTCATACCCAACCGGTCAGACTTACCGGGATGACCAAGCCATTGAGCATTAGTTTTAGGTTCCTCCCGGTCGGTTACGAACCTACCGGGTGGAATCAATGGCTTATTACCCATCAGTACGTGATAGACGTGTCGTAGCACCTACAAATTAATTTATTATTTTCCTTAACTCTTAACCCCATTTATTAATTAAATTTCTTTAAAACATATAGATAGGGCAAGTAAGAGTCGATCCCAAAATCAGTTCACTTGTCACTTTTATTACCGGGTGGAATCAATGGCTTATTACCCATCAGTACGTGATTAAAACATACTTTTTAATATATGAAAATCAGTTCACTTGTCACTTTTATTGAATAAAAACTAACTAAAATCGAATAACTAAAACGAAGGATATGGGGGGTTTGAATGATGATTCTAAAAAAAATAAAAATGCAGAAATTAAGATAAGGATAACAGATAAGAGATACGAGATGGAACCACAACAGCAACTCAAACTCAGATTTAAACTCAGGGAGAAACACACACACAAAAACAATCACACATTTAAACTTTATAAATACGTAGACAATAATAATTAACTTAAGCCATTTTGAAAATAATTATAATTTTTAATAGAAAATAAATTGAACAGTTATGATTCCTTAATTCATTATGTCTTGAGCCTGAAACTAAGTTGCTAATTAAACTCAGGGTTAGGCTGAAGAAGAGGTCCACCAACGGCTCTTCCTTATTCTCTCATTCAACCAACCCTAACTCTAAACCCTACTATCCTTAGCAACCTAAAGACCAACTCTTAAGTTACTACTAAGAATAGCGCATTAAGATTTGTGGAAAACATCACCATAACAACTTTGCAGTAACACTACAATTATTTAACAAAATTAGTTCGAGAACCTTGATTAGCAAAAACCACTTAACGAGGCAGCAAGTACTAATCAAGTGACACTTAGTTTCTAGAAAAGTTCGACTATTTAAAGCACTTTGAAATTTAAAAGAATATCAATTTAAACTGGATTAGGCACGCTTTCCTAATTTGGTCCAATTTAAGTAAAATCTGATGAAAAATAATTCTCAGAACACCTTTTTGAGTTTATATTTTAACAGTAACGTAGATCTAAAATCTCTTCAAAGTCAAATTAATTCAACAAACAAAGATTCAATCTTTTTGTCAAACGATTCGGCCTAAGAAGGTTTTATAATTTTAGAGACAATAATAAATTAATAAATCATATTTGGACAATTCAACATCAACATTCAAACAATTCAACACTTAGAATATAACTTAAACATTCAACACAAAAACAAGATTTAAAAAAACATATTTAATATTCAAGTACGGAGCATTAGAGAATCAAATTCATGAATTGGAAAATAAACAAATTTGATATCCTAATTGCAAAAATTAAGTGAAAAGAAAGAAATGCGTCCCAAAGTGTTCTTCTTCGTAAGTACTGTGCACGGACCCCAAATACTGACGCCAGAGTTTAGCCACTGCCTCCCTCCATAGCTGCCGTGTCTAGTGTCGCCGTCGGAACCATCGCCGGACCTAGCTGTTGTCGACNTTTTATATTAAAAGTTTTGAAGAGCTTTAATTGAATAGGAGTAGATCTGTTTCTTCCGCTAATCTTCTCCTGTTGGCGAAGGACTTCTCCATTTCTTCCGTGTTTTTTTTTTGTTTTGATCTTCTTTGTCACTTGCTTTATCATTGAATGATGATTGGGCTTGGCCCAATCCTTTTCTTCCTTTGCTTTTGAGCTCCAAAAATCCATCTTTATTTTTTTCAACATTTTTGTACTCCAAAATATATCTAAAAATTGTGACAAGTAAAATAATACTTCCAAAATAATTGTCATTTATAAAAATACTTAAAATCATGCATTTTATGTATGAAATATAAAAAATAGCCTAAAGTGCTAAATATAACAAAATATGTTTATTTAAATATAAAATGCATATAAAACATCTTAAAAATACTAAGAAATGGGATTATAAAACATGATGTTTTGTGACTCAACAGTACGTTAAGCGAAGGCTAGTTTAAGAGTTGGAAATTCGCATGGAAAACATGTACCTTAAACTAATGACCTAGCTTAAGAATTGGTTACAAATATCTTAAACTATAATTAGTTTAAGAGTTGGTAAATAATATAAGTGATTGGCCTTGGACTAGGAATAGTTTAAGGATACTGTTGAATATGAATGTTGGAAATTGAATAATAAACATTGATGAATGTTATGTGCATGATATCAAATGATTTAATTATGAATTGAGATTCAATTTATATGGATGTTCGACTCATTAGATATGCTTACTCAGCTTCACCATTGAGCGTGTAGTGTGTTTTATTTGCTACATGCAGGTAGACAGAATGAATGATTGGACTATTCCTGGTGGCAGATGGGGCGAGACAGTCGAAAAGGATGTGTGCAACCAATTACTGTTAAAAAGACATGAATTCATTCTGATTTGTATTTTTATGAATTAATTCGCTTCCGCAACATTTTAAATACTCCGTTATTATAAACAATTATTATTATGAAATAAAGTTAAATTGTTTGAAATGTTTTTGAATGTTTACGATTACCAAGTTAATAATTTAGTCCGAAAGGGAATGCAGAGCTGGACGGATTAGGGTGTTACATGTGAAGTATTCGGGCAAATAACCTACGATAAAAAGTTTATTGGAAGTTGCTAAGTTAGGATTTGTGAATCGGCTAAGAAAGTTGTTCGTGACATTATTAGTGACAAATACCATGAGTCACCCACAAGTTGTTTTGGAAAAATTATAGGAACTTCTGGTAGATGAAATTTTATTTGATCGAAGGAAAATATTGCGTGATCAAGGTATTTCAAGATAAAGATTGTTTTTAACGTAGTAATCCATACGAAATGCATTATATGGAAACAAAACTCTTTAATAAAGTAATGTATATAAATAAATTTTTCTAATTATTTTTTTGCAAAGCTTATAATCTCACGAGAAGACCTAAAGAATTTATGTCTAACTGATTTTGAAAAGTTGCTTAATTGAAATAGACGGTCTTTAAAGGAATTCAGTGGCATGCCGTTTCTGATGAATATCCACTTAATAGATATCAAAATAATTTTTTGGTGGAGGAATTAAACTATGACAAAGAAAAGTTATGATTTGATCTTAGGGGACATTTAATGAAGATTAGAGGAATATGTCTAATAAAATAATGGATGTCATGATAGTTGAAAGAGAAAGTTGTTAGTTCCATGGTGTTGGCTAATCTTTTGGCCAAATAGAATCTCATATTTGTTAGGTGTTTTACTAGATAGAAACCTCTATTTGTTAGTAGAGGTTTATTTTATTTAGACTTCTAGAGTTGCTGCAGTTTTCGAGGGTGACACAGAAGATGCTACATCACGATGCTCCAACACACTGTTCAGGATCAGAGGCCTAAGCACGGGATTTTAAGCTGCAATCTGAATTAGAGACCTATTGAGATTGTGATTACATGATAATAACTCCAGCTGTACATGCTAAGGAATCCCAACTCTTTAGGCTACTTGTGGATCAAGATTAAGGAAGTAGAGTTCAAGCCAACTTCTACTATCCCATTCCTACGAGGATTGTGTTAAGAGGAGCCTATAAAAACGCATCAGGTCCCTGGGAATTACTTGGAGCGATTGAGAGGGAAAACAAAGAATATACGCCGATGTAGAGCATTCCCGCACTACGTCAAAAACAGATGCGGACAACTGTTTCTTTTAGTTGTCTAACTATGTTGGTTTCAGTAGTCTTCCGAGCAGCTGTCTGATATATTTACAAATTACTGTTTAAAAACAATTGTGTCGTACGGTTGACGATACCTATTTTGTGATCTTTTAGAGTACATGTTTTTGGAGTTGTCCTCGTATAAGTAAGACATCTGTTCTCTGGAGTTAAAGACAACTGTGATTTTTTGTTGTATATCTATAATATATACTACTATTGTTTTCGACTTCAGACCCCTATTGTTTGGTGTTGTCGGTCAAAAATATAGATATCTAATTAAAAAAGTAGTTGAAAGATATATCAGACTGCTGCTCGGAAGACTACTAAACAAAAATAGTATCAGACAACTGTTATCTTGTGTTATATTTCTAAAACATAGACTACTAATTTTGTGGTATGTTAAACAACCGTTTCTTTCAATTGTATAGTGCGCAATAACACTACGCTTTTTTGCAGTTGTCCATGAAATATTCAAACTATATTTTTGAACAGTAGTGTAATTGATTATCAGACAGCTGCTCGGAAGACCACTATAAATATTTTCATCACACAATAGTTATTTTGTGTTGTATGTACAAATTGAGACTACTACTTTGGTCTTATTTTAAACAATTGTTTGTTTTTGTTATATAACGATTATTACCACTATGATTTTGTTTAGTAGTCCTTGAAATATTCAAACTATATGTTTGAATAGTAATCCAATTGGTTATGTAACGCCCTGAAAACTGGCCTAGAAATTTTAACCTTCTAGTACAAAGAAATGAGTAATATTTTTTTAAAAAAATGTTACTTTTATTTATCTAAAAAAACAATCAATTTGGAATTTAAATTTTAAGTGATTAATTACTAGTGGAGATGGAAAAAATATAATAAAGTGAAAGGGAATAAAATTAGTCTTTGTTCTCTACTATCTGATAAATATTGTTTGTTCAAGTGAACCTATTTTCTTGATAAACAAATTATGTTAAAATGATGTGTGAAAAATATGGAACTTAACGGTATAAATTTTATATTTTTCTGGGAATATTTAATAAATGAAACTGTGAAAATCAGACACATAATGCTAAACAAACGGAGCAGGAAACCCTTGGATTTCCTACTCAAAATCACGTCTCTTCACCATCTTTAACAATGGGGTTACAAAATTTACTTCAACAATTATTACATTAGTAATAATATATTATTTAATAAAATTTACTAAATTCTTTAGTTTATTGTGCAACCCTTCACTTCTCATTCATTCTCTAGAACTTTCTTTCCTTCTTATAAATAAGGACCCTTAGGAAGAGAAAATCATAGCCACTTGAGGGTAAAATTAAAAAAAACAACAAAAAAAAGGGTTGATAGGTGTGTAAAAATGGTTTGCGGTATAGTCAAGGTGGAGATCGACATGGGAGATGTCGTCATGAAATCATTCCGTCAACATCATCAAGCTAGTGTTTTGTCTAACCAATATCGAAGGTGTGCCGTTGACCCCAACCTTTAGACATATATTTTATGTTGATATATTTTTGTGTATTTTATTTTATTTTCTTTTTGTAATAGTCCAAATCTATCAATTGTTATAAAGAAAAAAAAGAATACGAAGTTAAGCATCAAACAAAATATCCGTATTAGCCTACCTTTGGAAAAAAAACAGGAGAAATGTAATCCATAAAAAAAGGTGAAAAAAAACCATACCACAGTTTTGTGTTAGAAGAAAGTAATGATGAAGTCATTTTTTTCCCTTCTCTCAATTCGGCTCACTGTAAAAAAAATGTAAAAGAAAGGGAAAATTGATATGTAGGTCCAAAATATCAAATTGGGTAATATAAGGAAAAAATATTAAGGATCTACATTTTTTTTTGTGTTGTGATGATTATTGACCGAGCATATAATGAAAATAGGATTAATAATAATATTGACAATTAATAAGTAGTGTTATTTGTATTTATGGCCGAAGCTAAAAGAAATAAATAAGTGATTTTATCTATTTTTTTGGTATTATAAAAAAATATAATGTTTACAAGTAAAGGCCAAACATAGTAAATAAATAGGTTTACAACTTAGCAATTAGAGTTAAAAGAGTGATTACAGTGGTAAAATAGTAAAATTTAGAACTTAGCACAATTGATTTTATATGTATATAAAGGAGTATACATACGTATATTTGAAAACTAAAAGTTGTAGTTCATTTTCAGATTTTGACTTGAAAATGTTTATTCACTTAAAATTTGAGTGATGTTTTATTGGTTTGGCGGCAACTAAACGTTTTGGACACAAGGGGACGCACACCGACTAAGGATTTTGAAAGTGTTTATGGTTGAAGTTATCAAAAGTGTATTTTGTTAATGACCATATTAGCGTTAACCAAATAGTTAGTAGACGAAGTAAACACGTTAAAGTTCTTTTAACGACGTACCCAGACCAGGTATTGTCACGTTTCATCAAGTGGGTCAAACCACATATTTCAAGGCCGGACCGTGTCCATGTGGATGAGCCTATAAATAATCATACCACAACGTGCGCACGAGAACCCAACGATGACCCCGTGGGTCTAGGGTTCACTTCTGATTACCGGACCCGAGGTTACGGGGAGGTATCCGAAGTAAAACTACGATTTGACTAGTGCGGTGTTCCAGCCTAATCACGGCTTAGTTTCTAATCTGTGGTTAACCTAGTAGGTCAAGTGTTTTCTAAATGTCCCCAAGTAACTTCTCAAAGTGAGATTATTTACTTAATGATTTGTAATTATGCAAAAAGGCTCATAAAACATGAATAACCTAAAATGCTCAAAAATATGTTTACATGTTATATATGTCTATTGGTTATTTGTCACTCAGCTTTGCTGAGCGTGTAGTTTTTTTAACTGCACGCAGATACTAGCAAGGTGAACGACTGCTGAGGAGGAAAGCTTGGACGCGGAGGCCGTACCAAAAAAGTTCTTATTTAATATTTAATAATGAATAAAACGTCGAACTAAATTTTACTTTGTTTTTTTTGTGGGCTTGAACCCAAGGTAAGGTTGTATTAACTGTGGATGTTTTTACCTTAAGTTTACGCGGGAAACATTTTTTTTAAA